CCACTTTCTGACCCTCGTGCCTAAACACCTCGTGGGACATGTGCTCGTAGAACTTGGTTGAGTCCATGAGCCCCGCCCCGTACCCGAGCACTGCTTTCCTCGCAAAGCACGCGACCAAGTTGGAGATCACCCCCGCCATGTCGCACGGCGTGTCCGCGGTCCCCCATAAGAGTTCCTGGTGCGGAAGCTCCTGCTCCTACTTGACGACCAGTGGTTGCCTGAGCCTGCTCAACAAACTCGTGGCGAAGGCCAACAGGTGGATCGGCCGAGCTCCCCTTTTTTGGCCTCGCCAAAAACACCGTCACCAGACTATAGATTGCCATGGGTTTCGCGCTCGCCTGACACATGTTGAATATGTCCGCCAGCCCGTCGCTGTAGCTGTCGGGGAGCTGCTCCAGCAGCCTGGGGCGCAGCTTGTCCCAGCCTGCCCCCCTGCCTCCCGGGCACTTCTTGAAAGCACCCCTGGTCTCCTCCACGCTGACAGGCTCCAACGCTTCGCCTCTCTTCCAGTCACTCGGGTGCGCGTCTCTCCTCCTTATTGTTGTCCCAAACTTGCACCCAGGCCGCGAGTACCACGTCCATGCCTGCCGTGCTTGCCTGCGGGACGCCATCCACCTCTGGGCACGACGACGACGACGACGACGACGACGGCGACAACGACCACCCCGACGACGACGACGAAGACGACGACGGCGACGACGACGACGGGATGAGTACCGACTGAATGACGACGGCCAACGCGACACCCAACAAAATCTGGCGGGGGGGGGACGATTGAAAAAAAACAGCTTCACCCCCCAAATATTATTCGTCTTCACTACACAGTTAAGAGGCGACCCCGCTGGAGGGGGATGGGTGGAGTGCTCTTCATCGTCGACATTCATTCGCAGGTGCGGCGAGGATCGTTCTCCCTCCTCCACGACTTCTCTTCCTGTCACCCCCTGTCCTCCTCCTAACCCACACCCTTAGACTCACCCGCCTCTCCAATGCTCTCCCCTCTCCATTCCCCAGTTAATTCAGCTTCCACCTCCTAATCCTCCTTCTGCCCGTGGCCCACCCCTGACACAGGGCGCGACTCCACCGAGAGATCAAAGGAGGTGGCGCGAGCCCTCTCCCTGGGAACTCCTCCCCCCTGAAAAACGCTGCCCCGAGATGAAGTACAAGTCGGGCTACCATCGCTGCCAACAACAAAGCATCAAGATCTCCAATCGTCCGCAATCCCCCTTCCTAGAGTTTTCTTGCAGGATCGGCGTCAAGGGACAGCCTCCCTCCGCCCGATAGAGGAAGGAACATTCGATTGTAGCATCCCCAGCGACCGTGGCCGCGTAGCGGTCCTCGCAGAGGCATTGTTCACTCGCCGAGGCGCCTGCTGCCACTGGCCAGTCGAGAGAGAGAGAGACGCGAGAGAGAGAGAGAGAGAGAGAGCAGATGGGGACGGAGAGCGCACGCACGCGCTGGAGACTCCGCCGCGGCGCGGGCGGGGAGCCCAGGAAGCGGCACCAAAACTGCCAAACACCTGCTGCTCCTCTCGGGCCTCTCCCGAGGTGCGCTCGGGGCGAGATCCCGCGGCGGACCCGACCGCGGCGACGACGCCCGTCCCCCCCGGCGTGGCCAAAGTTCGGTGGCAACTCATGGGAGCCTCCCATACCATCCTGCTAACTCTAGCGAATCGACCCTAGCCGACGCGTATCGATGCAAATCGGCGCTAAATCGGCGCTAACTCGCCGATTAACAAACGCGCTAATCGACGCCGATGCACTCCATGGACGGAATCAAGAGGGTACGCAAGGCGTCCATGATCAGCTACCGAAACACGCGCTGGAGACTCCTCCGCTGCTCGGGCGAGGAGCCCGTGACACGGATGCCGAAACCCTCGCTCATCCTGGGCCTCTCCTGGGGTGCGCTCTGGCCAGGATCCCGCGGCGGACCCGGCCGCGGCGATGACGGCCCCCACCCCGACGAGGCCAACGCATCGGCATCGTGTTGTGGCTCCTCCTCCGAGCGGGCGCGCGCAGAGCACGGGCCGATAGCCCCCATGCGGAACTCGCCCCAACCGCCAACTCCGTCCGACGGCCCGACCAGGCACCGAGACCGCCGCCCGCGCGATCACCTCGCCGTCGTCGCCGCCGCCGCCGCCGTCGTCCTCGTCGTCGTCGACAGCAGCAGCAGCAGCAGCAGCAGCAGCAGCAGCAGCAGAATCGACATCACCAGCATCATCACCATCACCATCACCATCGTCATCATCAGCATCATCAGCATAATCAGCAGCATCATCATCACCACCATCAGCATCATCAGCAGCATCAGCAGCATCATCAGCATCATCACCACCATCATCATCATCAACATCATCATCAGCATCATCGTCAGTATCAGCATCAGCATCATCAGCAGCATGACAATCACCGTCACCATCATCAGCATCATCATCACCATCAGCAGCATCATCATCATCATCATAATCATCACGTTCACCAACATCACATCCTCAGCATCAGCAGCATCATCCTCGCCGTTATCGTCATCATCATCATCATCATCATCATCATCAGCAACAGCGGTATGATCATCACTGACATCCTCAGCGCCATCATCATCAACAACAAGGGCATCAACATCAGCAGCATCCTGATCTCATCAGCATCGTCATCGTCATCATCATCATCAGCGTCATCAGCATCGTCATCATCATCAGCATCGTCATCAGCAGCAGCATCATCATCGTCGCCATCCTCATCCTCATCCTCATCCTCACCCTCATCACCATCACCATCATCATAACAAGCATCACCAATATGTTCGGCATCATCATCAGCAGCATCATCATCATCATTGTCATCGTCATCGCCACCGTCCTCATGAGCATAATCAGCATAATCAGCAGCAGAAGCATCAGCAGCCTCATCACCGTCAGCAGAGACACCATCGCTACCGCCACCACAAGTACCATCGGCATCATCATCCTGATCAGCAGCATCATAATAATAATCATCATCATCAGCATCATCCCAATGACCGACATCGTCATCAACATCAGCATCAGCATCATAATCAACAGCAGCACTAATCCACATCGGCAGCATCATGTTATCATGACATCATCATCATTGTCAGAATCAGCATCATCACCATCGTCATCAGCATCAGCATGATCATCATCAGCATTGTAATCCTCAGTTGCATCGTCACCATCATCAACAACGGCATCATCATGATCATCAGCACCACCATCACCATCAACATGAGCATCGCCGTCCTCGTCCTCGTCCTCATCCTCATCATCATCATCATCATCATCATCATCAGCAGCAGCATCATCAGCAGCATCCTCACCAGTGTTGTCATCATCAGCATCATCACCACCACAATCACCATCACCATCACCATCACCATCACCATCACCATCATCGTCATCATCAATATCGTCAGCATCATCATCATCAGCAGCAGCAGCATCATCATAAACCATCATAGTCATAAGAATCATCAGCAATATTTATTATCATCAGCATCATCATCATCATCATCATCATCAGCATCATCATCATCATCATCATCATCATCATCATCATCATCATCATCATCATCATCATCATCATCATCATCATCATCATCATCATCATCATCATCATCTGCGTCATCATCAGCATCATCATCATCATCATCCTCATCAGCATCATCATCATCACTATCCTCGACATCGAATAAGTCATCGTCATCGTCATAGTTCTCTGGGTTGCCAGTGGAGGAAAGCGCGTCCTGGCACGCGGACAGCACCTCGTGTGGACACCGCGAGTCGGACCAGAAGAGGATCAGGCGGTTCCAGATGGGCTCCACCTTCGAGGAGGACGTAGAAGGGCGGAGGCGCAGCCCAGAAACGCGGATCGGCGTCATCTTCGTCGTCGACGTCGTCATCATCGTCTTCCTCCCCGTTCCTCCTCCTTCTCCTCCTCATCCTCCTCCTCCTCCTCCTCCTCCTCCTCCCCGTATTCCTCGTCCTCGTCGTCGTCATCCTCCGACCCGTATTCCTCATCAATTTCTACCCTCCTCCTCATCCTCCTCCTTCCTCCCACTCCTCCTGCACCTCCTTCTCACTCCCTCTCCTCCAACTGCAAGATGGGATCCACCTTTGGAAAGGAGGATGGAAAAGGAGGCGGGCAAAGGTTATACAATGAGATACTACGAATTGAGGTGCGACCGTCATTCTCGCGACCACGCCAGGACAGGACAGGACAGGAAGAAGCCGCGCCTAAATGGCGCATCGGCACGCATTGGCATGAAAACGAAGACAAGAAACTGTGAAGAACATTATGCTGAATACACGTGCGCCGGGTCACAGCCACTGTACATAGAACAGTGCTGGGCGGCGGGTACCACTAATTACACTTGCACATAGCACACTGAACATGCAAGAGGGCAGGGGGAGAGGGAGCGAGGTGCGGAAGGGAGGAGAACAGCAGCCGCGTTCCTGTGAACTCTTCATCTGGCGGTCAACTCGGTATGAGTTGGCAACGGGGGCGCACTAAAGCGGGACAAATATGTTCCCTGACCTGCTGAGGAGGGTGTCGAAGGAGGGAACAACCGAGGGGGACTAGTCGGTGTCAGACGGTCTTCTGAGTCACCTCACGTCGCCCTTCGCGCTGCGCGAAGTGCCATCATCTTCGCGCTCTCAGACCGCACCCCCAGAGGTGGTTTCGAAGTTTCAGATGTAAGTGTAACCAGTGCGTACCCACCTGGAGATGGCTCTGTCCAGCGACTCGCAGCTAATGCTTCCCCATCGCTTCCCCAGACAGCAAATCCCAACAGTCCTCTGAGCGAAAGTGGTTTACGGCGTTTCCCTTGTCCATCACCACCTGTTTGTTCCATTCGGGACGGGATTACCACTGCTCTGCTTAATATACACCCCTTGCCACACCGGAATGTCGGCCAAGCCGGAATCATGACGACCGCCCTGCGCCAGCCATGTCAAAAACAGTACCAAACACAATCTGCGGCAGCATCTGAATCACAAGCGGGCACCAGGCGAGCACTTTCCATATTATGTTTTTGGCACGGGCGAGGAAGGCGGCCTACCGCCTGCTGCGCGCAGGCCCACCACCCCAGCCAAGCATGAGTACGACGTGCACGGTGCGGCAGAATCTGGATCAGCCGCGGGCACCCCCACGACCACTTTGCACTGTCCCGCCATCGCTCGGACGTCCATTCCCCGTGTTTTTGTTCGGTTTCGTGCGTGGTTTCTTCGCCAAATGATCAAGGATGCTCCTCGATGGTCCTCGCCGAGAGACAAATGCACACGTCCGAGCGATGCCAAGCTGTTACCTGACAGGGATTCGGAGGGGTGGGGGGGGGGGGCAGCCCGGCACGCAAAGTGCACCTCGCGGGCGGTGCGCACCGGGATGGCGGACTTCAGGGGTGCCCGATGACTGCTGACGGCGGCCCCTGCCCATGCTGAGACTCGGGAGCCACTTCTGTGGCGTGAGGGCGGGAGGCAGTGAGCGAGACGGCCGTCCCTCGGGGGGGAGGACTTTGAACCCCCTTCCTGGGTCTGAAGGGGGGGGATCGCGAGCGGTCAGAGCGTCCAGAATGGCCCGAGCGAGAAAGCACAAATCCTGCACTGTCTTTTTGGGCTGTGCGCCAGTGGGGGGATGTGGAGGTGGCGGGGGTAACCCACGCCACCGCCTCAGATCGGAAGCCGGGCAAGGGCTGCTAAATCCGTGGCTGATAAAACCGACCTCCGGGAAGTTGTCTTCGTCCTTCCGGAAAGAAGCCCGTTGACTGTTTCGCGTGCCGCGCCTCGTTCCGGGAAATTGACATTCCTTCTGGGAGGGCCGTTTTAGCAGTCACGGTTTTAGCAGCCCTCGCCCAGCTTCCCATCATATTCGCCGGCATCCAAATTGGCCCCACGACGGCCCGAACGGCCCCCCCGCAAGGGGCCTCGAAGGGGCGCCCGAGTGGCCGGCAAGAGGCCCCAACAGGAGGCGCCCGAGATGCCTCCAAGAATGAAGCCCCCCACGAGATGGCAGGGCCCCCAAGGAGGAGGACGGATACTGAGGGGGAGAGAGCAGAAGGAGAGGGAGGAGAGCAGGAGAGGGGAAAGATGAGGAGGCGCACCAGGAGGAGCAGAAGGAAGAGAAGGATGAAAGAGGACGAGTGCAGGTGAAGGAGGAGAGCAAGAAGAAGGGGGAGGAGGTCGATTCCGACGAGTTTATCCTCCTCCTCCTTCTCCTCCTCCTCATCGGCATCCTCATCCCAATCCTCATCCTCTTTGTCGTCCTCATCTGCATCCTTATTTTGTTATCAACGACGACCAATTCATCATCAACAACTTCAGCATCAACAGCATCATCACAATCAGTACCATCATCATCATCATCATCATGCTCCTCCTCATCATCATCAGCATCATCATAATATTCATCATCATCACCACCACCACCACAACCACCGTCGACATCATCATCATCATCATCAGCAGCAGCAGCAGCATAATCATTATACTCTAAATCCTCATCATCATCAGCAGCAGCATCATCAGCAGCAGCAGCAACAACAGCATCAGCATCAGCATCAGCATAATCACCATAAACATCATACTCATCATCATCATAATCATCATCATCATCATCATCATCATCATCATCAGCATCATCATCATCATCATCGTCGTCATCATCACCACCACCATCAAAAGCACCACAATAACTACCCTTCTCAACATCATCATCAAAGCAGTAGCTCGAAGACGAATACTAATGATCATAGTAGCCAAAACAATAAATCCTACCACTACTATGGATCATTACATTATTAGTACTCGGAACCTAATAGTAAGAAGAATACGAATTGAAATAGGGAAACTTAAACATGAATAAGTACATAGTTAATAAAATTGCAAGTCATGGGAGCAGTAATACTACTCATATATCATACGAATGAAAGAATCAGAAGACGGATTATCTTGGCGACGGGCCCAGCCATATGCAACTGTGCGTACCGCATTATGACTCCAGCTTTCAATCGAATCCCCATATGGGGCCACGAAACATGGGCGGTAGCGCCCTGCGAACCCTGCCGGCAGCCGAAATCGTGCGGGGCCGCCCAATGAACTTTGCCACTGGGGCCGTCGGTGGAGTTCCTTGTGGGGCCACGGAGCGCGCGAGGGGCTGTGCCAAAATAGGGCGGGGCCACCATGTGAACTCTGCCACTGGGGCCTTCGGTGGGGCCCCCCATGAGGCCACGAAAAAAAGGTGTGCCAGAATGGGTGCGGGGCCGCCATGCGAACGCTGCCACTCGAGCATTCGATAGAGCCCCCTTCTGAAGTAGCGAAATGTGTGAGGGCTGTCCCGAAACGTGCGAGCGGTGTGCCAAAATGGGTGCGGGGCCGCCATGCGAACGCTGCCACTGGGGCCATCGGTGGAGCTCCTCATTGGGCCACGAAGCGTGTGAAAGGTGTGCCGAAATAGGTGCGGGGCCGCCATGCGAACGCTGTCACTCGCACCTTCGGTGAAGCACCCTTTGTGGCAACGAAGCGCGACAGGGTCGAGCGGAAATGGGCGCGGGGCTGCCATGCAAACGGTGCCACTCGGTCTTCGGTGAAGCGAAGCGCCACGAAGCGCGCGAGGGGCGCGCCGAAATGTGCGCGGGGCCTCCGTGGGGCCCTGGGAGGTGCCCCCATATGGGGCCACAAAGCGCGCGAGGGGCGTGTCGACATGAACGGCGTGGACACATTCGGGCGGCACCACCGGGGCCTTCGGTGGCGCCCCCCGTGGGGCGGCAGTCCGCGTGATGTGTGCGCATGTGCGCGCGCAGAAATGGGCGGTGCGGGCGCACGCGGGCGGCGCCTCTGGGGCCTTCGGCGGAGCTCCCTGTGAGGCCACGTAACGTGCGAGGGGCGCGCCGAAATTGGCGGCGTAGGCCGAGCTGAGATCGAATAGGAGGATGGATGGGCCAGCATCAGAGGAGCCCTGGGCGCCGTCCGCACGCGGGCGACGCCCAGGTCCCAGATGTATCACGGGCCCCGCGCCGCCTCGATGACGCCGCACGGACGCCGCGGCAACGAGGGGCCCCGAAGCAGACCAGACAGGCATCCGTCCGACCCTGCCCTACCCCGCGGGCAAGCCAGGGGGATGGAAACCGCCCCCGCGGGGACAGAAGCTGGCAGCCCCAGCAGCCGCCAGCGGCCGTGCGCACAGGGCGAGCTCGACCCAGGCGGCGGCCCCCCGAACCCACGCCGGGGGGCGCCGCGCCGAAAATTCGAAGCGGACCCAGCAGGACAGAGCGAGGGCCCGCCCCTACTCCGTCGGCCGCGCGGGCGGCGCCAGAAGCGCGTCCGCCCCACCCACACGGACGAGGAACTCGCCCTCCACGCAGCAGTCCTCGGAGCTACGGGTCGAGGCCACGCGGCAGCCCACGAGCTCGATGTCTCCAGCCCGCAGCCAGGCCTTGCCCGAAAGCCTGGGCCTGGCCGCAACGGGGCCGCAGCCCTTCCGCGCAGGCGCGGGTGAGCCCTCCGGAACGGCACTGCGGCGCGGCCTGGGCCGCGCGGAACGCCCGCGCGTCGGCGCCCTCCAGCTGCGCCCCGGGCGCGGCTGCATGGAGGGCGGCACTGCGCCGCAGCCTCTGGAGCCACGTAGGCGCGCGGCCCTCCACCAGCGCGGCGAGGGCTGGAAGAAAGCAACGGACGCGGGCGGCCACCTCGCCGTCGCCCACGATGACCTGGAGGGTCTCCTCCGCGTCCTTCCGCTGGCGTTCAGCGGCCGCCAGCTGCGACTGCAGCCGCGCGGCGACGAGGCGGTCCGCAGACGCCCAGGCACCAGCAGCGCCGCGCAGCACCGCCGCCGAGCCCGCCACCGCGGCCGTCCGACGCGCCCCGCCAGAGCACGATCGCCACGCATCCGGGGCGAATCCCGCAGCCATCCTCAGACTCCCAGCTCCAGACGCCACATGCCACATGCCGCGAGGCGGAGGAGGAGGAGGGGAGGAAGAAGTAAGGAAAGGAAGGAGCGCGGGTCGCTCTCTCTTCAAAACGAAGACCCAACACCACATGATGGTGGATAATAAAGGTAATAACACATGCTAAGACATAAGAGGATCAAAAAAACATGACAATAAAATTGAAAAAAAATGTATCGCTGATAATATTGATAGTGATAACGATACTACGAATGGTATTGCAAATCGATAACGATACGACGGCTGAGACTACGAATAGTCGTGTTCGTACTACTACTACTACTACTACTACTACTACTACTACTACTACTACTACTACTACTACTACTACTACTACGACTACTACGACTACTACGACTACTACGACTACTACGACTACTACGACGACTACTACTACTACTACTACTACTACTACTACTACGACTACGACTACTACGACTACTACGACTACTACGACTACTACGACTACTACGACTACGACTACTACTACTACTACTACTACTACTACTACTACTACTACTACTACTACTACTACTACTACGACTACTACGAGTACTACTAGTACTACTAGTACTACTAGTACTACTACTACTACTACTACTACTACTACTACTACTACTACTAGAACGAATCACATTTAAAAGCAGAAGCGGAATGCTAAATTCATACGAGTCGTAGAGGTAATCTGAATAATAAGCATAAAAAATCAACAACATCAGCATCATCATCATCATCATCATCATCATCATCAGTGTCATCAACATCATCATCATAATCATCATCATGAGCAGCATCATCATCACCACCACCATCATCAGCATCGTCATCATGATCACCTCCAGAAACATCATTATCAGCAGCAGCAGCATCGCCATCATCATCACATCAGCAGCAACATCACCCGTACCATCAGCAGCACTCAAATGATAACGATTACAATGCTACGTTAATATGAATCAGCATCAGGTGAACCACCACCCGCAGCAGCAAGATCAGCATCAGCATCAGCAGTAGCAGCAGCATCACCATTCTCGGCATCATCATCATCACCGCCGTCAGCATCTTCATCATCACCAGCAGCAGCACCGACATCATCATCAGTATCAACAGCATCAGTATATTCATCAACATCCGCGTCGTCATCATCATCACCATCACCATCATCCTGATCAGAGTCACCATCAGCATCCTCATCAGCGTCATCAGCGTCATCATCAGCAGCACCAGCACCATCCATCCATCCATCCATGGATCCATCAATCCATCCTTTTTCCCGAAAAGATATCTCCCCCACGTCGCAACCCCAGACGTGGTGGTACGGCGGGCCTGAAGCATGACATTTGCAACCATCTCAAAGGTGAAAGTCGGCTGGGTTTCAAAATTTGACTTCCGAATTAATGCCGCGCATAACCGAGCGCGGGCGATAATAGTCCCCGGGAGATAATGAAGTTCGGGGGTCGGGCGGGGCTAATCAACGATTTTCCCGGGGAAGCCGGTGGAAGCTATGGTGATGATGGTGACGATGCTCATGATGATGGTGATCCTGGGCGCTCGGCACAAGACTGACCCGAGATATCTCGATGCTCGTGGCTACAACTTGCCAGCATGCGCTCGGTACAAGACTGACTCGAGAGACCTCGAGGCTCGTGGCTACAACTTGCCAGCAGGCGCTTGGCACAAGACTGACTCGAGAGATCTCGAGGCTCGTGCCTACAACTTGCCAGCGCAAGAGAGGTCCTTGGCCGTTCTGGCCCAAAGATCTCTCTTGCGCTGGACTTCGAGCCACTCCCCCATGCAGGCGCTGCCGCACGTTCGTGACCTGGGCAAGCTGAACTGTTGAGAATCCCACAGCCCTGCCACACGCTCGTGATTGCGGAAGCTGGTATGGTGAGACCACCACGGCCATGCTCAGCGTGTTTGATGCTGTTGCTCGTCAACATGAGATGATAGCAACTTCGATTCGCAACTTCCCCCGTGGATTATCAAGTTCGGCCTCCGCGCCCCGATCCACAATTAAATCCTATTGAAAAGAGTAACACATAGAGGGGGGAAAGGGGAGGGTATGTTTTATTATCGCCCGCACGGGGTTGTGCGCCTTCAAAATGCGCTACAGCTTCAAAGATGAATGGTGGCTGGTTTTCAAAGTGTGGTTATCACCTCAGCGCAGCGCACACTCGTCCTACTAAAAGTGTTCAGCTGATTCGCATGGCTGAAACTCCAAGAATTGCGTTCTGACGCGACTTAGACTTACCAGAACGCACCAGTCACGTTGATTCGCGGTGTCGAAATTCCAAGGATGGTGTCTGACACGACTTAGGCTTGCCCGGACACAGCAATCACCTTCATTCGCGGCGCAGGAATTGCGTTTCGACACGATTGTGGATTCCTCAACGGTTGCCTTCCAACGAGGCATTTCCCGCAACCAGCATACGTTATTGTAGGGAACTTGGAGGGGCGGTTTATCGCAACATCGTTGATGTGCCTTGGCTTTACACTGGTCCTCCTCCCCTTCCTCCTCCTCCTCCTCCTCCTCCTCCTCATCATCCTCCTGCTCCTCATCCTCATCCTCGCCTCCAGCATTGAAAACAACTACCCACACCACTGCTAAGTATTCTGAGCACCACCTCGTGCTTGATCCGCAGGTTCTGCTCGCCTGGATGGAAGAGCCGCAGCTCCCCGCCGTGGTCCTCCCGCCAGCCCTCGTTGAGGTAGAGGATGCCTCCAGCTGGGGTGGCGCAGAACGGAGAGAGGGCAGGGGGGGAGGGGAGGAAAGCGAGGGAGGGAGCCGAGGGAGTGAGGGAGGGAAGGGAGGGAGGGGAGGGAGGGAGGGGAGGGAGGGAGAGAGAGAGGGGGGCCTCCAGAGCCAGAGCCCCCTCCTCGTGCTGCCCCTCGACAGATCAAGCCTTCCGACGCAAAAAGAGGCGTGATTCTTGACGGTTGCTTCCTCGACTTTGTCACATGGTCCTACTTATTGTCATTATTATACGCATCCTGTTCCTTGTCACCCCCCTTTCCTTCTGAAGGCACGCCCCCCCGACTTCTCCTGAAGAGCGCTGTCCAGAATCTCGAGGCGGACCCAGCCGTAGGGACGAGGGCCCCCCAGGCAAAGAGGACCCACGAGGTCGAAGACTCCACCTCTGGCGGGCCCCAAGAGGGGGCCAGGAAGCCCTAAACTGACACCCAAAAACATTCCTCCTCATCTGCCTCCTTCTCCTCCTCCTCCTCCTCCACCTCCTCCTCCTCCTCCTCCTCTTCTGCTCCTCCTCCTCCCTCCTCCTCCTCCCTCCTCCTCCTCCTCCTCCTCCTCCTCCTCCCTTGACTCCTCCTCCTCCTCCTCCTCCTCCTCCTCCTCCTCCTCCTCCTCGGTGACTTGCTGACGCGGACGGTTCTCCTGATGAAAGATGGCGCCCTCGACCCCTCCCGCCGGTGAGCCGGCGGGAGGGGAGCAACATCCAAGAGGTAACAAGAGGGATAAGCGAGAAGGATGACGGATACCTCGGACCTAGGCCAGAAGAACACCCTTCAAGAACACCAGACCCTCCGTCGGCCAAAACAAACAGGACATCCAAGAGTACCCCCCCAGGATGCACAAGAACATCCAACAAACACACAAAGAACACTGGGGCACCCTCCCCGAACAGACCTCGATCTTATGCCTCAGTACGACCTTATGGAGGACCTCCTCTTCCTTATGGAGGACCTCCTCCTCCTCCTCCTCCTTCTGGAGGACCTCCTCCTCCTTATGGAGGACCTCTTATGCCTCAGAACAGACCTCGACCTTATGGAGGACCTCCTTCTCCTCCTCCTGCTCCTCCTCCTGCTCCTCCTCCTCCTCGCCCTCCTCCTCGCCCTCCTCCTCCTCGTCCTCCTCCTGTGCGGCAGCACGGGTCGCCTGTGAGGAGGCGGCCGTTGCCCGAGGAGTTGTCGGTGTGCCTGAAGTAGCGGGCCCTGCTCTCGCCCGGGTAACACGTCAGCATCATCTCGGAGCACCACCGCACGCCGCCCAGGGCGGACGCCACGGCCGCGTTGCCGGCGTGCTCCGCGCCCACCTGGAGCCTCCTCCTCCTCCTCCTCCTCCTCCTCCTCCTCCTCCTCCTCCTCCTCCTCCTCCTCCTCCCTTGACTCCTCCTCCTCCTCCTCCTCCTTATCGGGGTCGGGGTGGTTTTTCCTCCCTTTGAGCGCGGCTGCTGCATCGGTGCTCGCACCGAAGGGGTCCCCGTGGAGGCTACAGGGACTCGGAGAGGAGGAGCGCCGCCGATCTCGGCGGGTGGCCAGGGTCCCAGGCTCCAGGTTCCCGGGTGTCCGGCTCTGCGCTCCTAGGTTCTCGGGCACACTCTTGCGGACAAACTCACAACTGCGCCACGCAAGCATTGGGCGGCATCGCATCGTCGGAAAGTCGGAACCGAATGGAGTCATGACGGCCAGAATCGGCATCGAATCGGACCGATCGGATCGGATCTGGGGGGACCCAGGCATGGTCACGCCCGGCCTCCAGTTCTGGCCCCCAGAGCACGAATGGACTGCACGGTACAGGGGACAGAGCGGAGAGCAGAGAGCAGACGCCAGAAGAGCCAGAGAGCCAGAGATCGCAAGGAACCTGATGGGGCAAGAACTGGAAGCGCAGATTGTGTCCAGTGGGCTCGTAGACGGAAAAGACAAAAAGGATTACTGCGACGACAAGGCGGCGGATGTCGAGGATGGCAGCGTGGATGACGGGGAAGGCTGCGAGGGGAGCAGAGAGAAGGACATCGATTAGGAAGCCAAGTACGAGGACGAGGAGGAATAGATGGAGGACAAGTACGAGGAGGAATGAAGCGGAGGGGGAGGAGGAGGAATAGAAGCAGGACGACGGCGGCGGTGACAAAGACTCAGGCGAAACGCTCGATGTTGCAAACGTCGATGATGGCACAGTCTTAGTTGCGTGAGGATGTCCCTAACGAAATCGTCAGGTTCGGTCGCCTGGAGGGCACTCTTGGGGTCATGGTTGGGCTCGTGTTGGGCTGTTTTGGGTCGCCTTGATGCCTTCAGAGGCCATTACAATGCGATGTCAGACACATGCGGAATCGCATTATTTAGGAGGTCGGTTTGGCCCGCCGTGAAGCCTTTTCGAGAGCGGTAACAAGACGATGCTAGAACCGCATGTTTCAAAACGACGGTATTATATTTGTCATTGTTTTGAGGATGCCCCTAGCGAAATTGCAATGTTCGGCAGTCTGCAGGGCGCTCATGGAGCCATCTTGGGGTCATGTTGGTGCTCTTACCTTTCTTAGTATTGACACACTTCGATATTGATGTCACAACGATGCTCGGAACACACAAATGTTTGAAGGCGAAATGAGCATGTTTGGAGACGGCTTCGAAGATACAAAATGTTGGACTGCCATGCTCGTCCCTATGTTCTGAATATGTCTCGGGCGAGAGCGTCGTTCTCAACATAAAAGAGGTAGTGAAACACCTCTGTCGACATCTTGTTCGAAGATGTATCAAACAAAACGCTCATTCACGATGACTCGCCAAACCTGACCGGACAACAACGGGAAGCAGCGTCGCTATCTCTATATATATATATACATGTGCAAGCATATATGTTGTATATGTGCATATACATCACATATACATATAATTCGCCGAGAACTCTGAAAATGACGCTTGGTCTGATATGCTGGTCTGCCGCGCTGGTCTGCAGAACTGCATGCCGTGATGATGTGCCGTGCTGGCGTGCCGTGTTGGTTTGCCGCGCTGGTCTGCCAAACTGGTCTGCCGTGCTGGTCTGCCGTGCTGGTCTGGCATGCTGGTTTGCCGTGCTGGTTTGCCGTGCTGGTCTGCCGTGCTGGTCTGCCGTGCTGGTCTGCCCTGCTGGTCTGCCGTTTGCTGGTCTGCCGAACTGGCCTGCCGCGATGGTCGGTCGCGCTGGTCTGCCGTGCTGGTCTGCCATGAAGGCCTGCCGTGCTGGTCTGCTGTGTTAGGTTGCTGTGCTGGTTTGCCGCGCTGGCGCGCCGCGCTGGTCTGCCGAGCGGGTCTGGCATGCTGGCGTGGCATGTTGGTCTGCCGTGGCATGGCATGGCGGGGCCTAAAAGCACATGAAACAGGGAGAGAGGAGAGGCACATGGGCCCACCCTCAACCCGCGCGGGGGGGGGCACCACGGGCCGCCTGCCGAAACCCCAGACAGGACGGCCCCAACCCACGAGACGGGGCGGAGGAGGCGCAGAAGCCGAAAGGCTAGACGATGGCCCCGCCCCATCACCGTCACCCCCTGCTCTCGACACTGGCGGGGGCACAAACTGCAGACCGCATTCGATTTCGATTATGGGAGGCCACGCCCGCTCTGCGCATCAAAGGGAGGGCACCTCCTGCATCACGGCACACACACACGCACAAACACATGCAAACACAAGACGCAGAACAAGGGATGCAGATTCTGCGGCGGCCAGCACACGCCCTCCTGTGGGGCGCTCCCGTAGAGCTCGACTGGACCACGGATCGCACTGGCTTACTGCCGCCCACTCACGCTCAGCAGCTGCTGCTGCTGCTGGAGTTCCGCCCACGCCGCTCCGCCAGCGGCGGCTCGCTTCCCGCCCCGCACGCCGCAAACGCACAGAGGGCCAACGGGCGCCTCAGCCACTGCTCTCGCTGCTGGGGTCGGCTGCTCCGCGGCGCCGTAACACGGCGGCGCACGCGTCGGCTCCCTTGCCTGCTGCAGCCGCTGCCCAGTTGGCCAGCTCGGCCTCGTCGAGTCCGTAAGCAGCGAGGTGGCCAGGGCAGCCTCTAGCCGCGGGCACCTCTGCGCCGCTCCCGGGGGCCCGGGGCGCCTCCGCCTCGGCGCCGCTCGGGCCAGCAGACCGCCTGCCTGCCGTGGGGCATCCTGCTCCACCGGTGCTGCCAGCCGCCTCGAAGGCGTCGTCCTCGGTGCCCTGGATGCCGAACCAGGCAAGGTAGCGTAGGCGCGCGTCCCCGGCCACGGTCACCACCTGGCGAAGCTCGCGCACGTCCTGACCCCGCTGCCCATGCTCATCTGCCGTGCTGGTCAACAACCCTGGTCTGCCCTGCTTGTTTGCACAGTTGGTCCGCCGTGCTGTTCCGCCGCGCCGGTCTGCCTGGCTGGTCTGCCGCGCTGGTCTGCACTGCCGGTCTGCCGTGCTGGTCTGCCGAACTGGTCTCCGCCGTGCTGGTCTGCCCTTCTCGTCTGCCGTGCAGGCCTGTTGGTCTGCCGTGGTGGTCTGCGGTGCTGGTCTGCCGTGCTGGTCTGCCGCGCTGGCGCGCCGCGCTGGTCTGCCGCGCTCGTCTGCCGCGCTGGTCTGTCGCGCTGGCACCCGCGCGGGCCTGCCGTCGAAGTGGCGGGGCCTTGGAGGCAAAGAGAAGAGGGGGGCGCCGGCTCAAGCAGCGGGGTGGCCGCGTGGGGCCAGGGCACGGCGGAGGCGGGCCAGCCGAAACGCACGTCTGACTGTTGGGCCTCACCCCAAGACGCCGAGCCCCCGCCCAAACCTCTGAAAGGATCAAGGCGAGTCCCCAGAACTCCACGGCAAATCACTGCTAGAGTCAATCGGAAAAGGACTCGCAGACGCAAGGACTTCAACGACCAAAAGAGCCTCACACTGGACCCAGGCGCGCGAGCGTGCAAATACAGGAGACAGCGAACAATACCCGCCTTTCGCCGAGGTCAGCGCGCGCCCTCCTGCGAGGCGATCACCCAGAACTCGAATGGCTCTCGGGTTGGCACTGGCCCGCTGCTGCTCACTCACGTCTTGCAGCCGCTGCGGCCGAGGTCCAGCCCGCGCAGCTCCGCCGGCGGCGGCTCGCCTTCCGCCCCGCGCGCCCCTCGCGCGCGGAGGGCCAGCGGGCACTTCCGTGGGGGGGTGCAAAATATATCTGGGACGGCGCCTCGCTGGAACAGTGCCTGGCGCCACATTCCCACGGACCTGCGGCGTTCAGAGTGCCCGCGCGGGCGGGCCGTCCACGGCGCGGCGACATAGAACGAGAGAGAAAGTCGCTGCACGGCGCATGGGCCCCTACAGATATGTCGGGAAAAGCAAATGGGGCGCGGCGCCCCACGCGAGGCGGCGCTGAAAAGACGGGCGGGCCCTGACGGTGCGGGCCGGAAAGCCAGAGGCGCGAAACTAGCCCCGGCGGATGGCGCATATATGTCGGCAAAATGTTGCAGGGAAAACGCACCGGGAACAGATGCACCGATCGATAGAAGAATTGAAAGAGATCCGCCAGTCCGCCCAAAAAACAAGAAAAACGCGAGAATCGACAGAGATTGTCGCCCGCGGGCAAAAATTCTGTTACCACAGGGGAAACAACTGGCGATAATCTGAGCAGAGGGGGAGGGAGGGCGACGACAGCGTCGCTAACAAACTCTGCACCAACGTCGCGACAGTGGAATAGCATGCCACACCGCGCACCTGGGCTGCGACCCGACGCCCCCTGCAAGTCCCACCAGCCCTTTAGGGCGTAGGTGGTCTAGAGCGTTTCCTCTGCCAACCCCCCTTCTTTCCCTTCGGGGAGGGGTTTACCCCTCCCCTTACCCCTCCCCACTGACCTGGACGGGGCGTTCCGCGACGCGTTGGGACGCCCAAGATGGCCCAAGACTGCTCCAAGAGCGAAAAGGCGAGAAAGCACAAAACATTGATTTTCCTTAGGTTTTGGAAGGATTTTGGCCTCTTGGGGGGGCCCAAGAGGCGATCCGAGGCACTCTAGAGGGGCGAGGCTAATTGAGGCTCCCCCCTTCTTTGATATATATTCCCAACATGGCCCCAAGAGCGCCCCGAAGGCTCCCAAGAGCGCCCCAAGAGCGCCCCAAGAGCGCCCCAAGAGGGCCCCAAGAGGCGCCCAAGATGCCTCCAAGAGGCTCCCAAGAGACTCCCAAGAGGCCCCAAGAGAATCCAATATGGCCCAAGACGGCTCCAAGAGCGAAAAGGCGAGAAAGCAAAAAACAATGATTTTCTGTAGGTTTTGGACGGGTTTTGGCTTCTTGGGGGGGGGCCCAAGAGGCGACTCGAGGCACTCTAGAGGGGCGGGGCTAATTAAAGCTCCACCCTTCTTTGATAGATCTCCTCCAAGATGGCGCCATGAGCACCCCGAAGGCACCCAAGAGCGCCCCAAGAGCGCCCCAAGAGAACCCCAAGAGGCTCCAAGAGACGCCAAGAGGCGCCCAAGAGGCCTCCAAAAGGCTCCCAAGAGACCCCCAAGAGGCCCCAAGAGGCTCCCAAGATGGCCCAAGACGGCTCCAAGAGCGAAAAGGCGAGAAAGCAAAAAACATTGATTTTCCTTAGGTTTTGGACGGAATTTGGCCTCTAGGAAGGCCCAAGAGGCGATTCGAGGCACTCTAGAGGGGCAACGCTAATAAGCAACCCCCCCTTCTTTGATAGATCTCCTCCAAGATGGCCCCAAGAGCGCCCCGAAAGCTCCCAAGAGCGCCCCAAGAGCGCCCCAAGAGGCCCCAAGAGGCCCCCAAGAGGCCTCCAAGAGGCCTCCAAGAGACTCCCAAAAGGCCACAAGAAGCTCCCCGAGATACGCAAGAGGCCTCCGGGACCGCCAAGAGGCCCCAAAGACGGCCCAAGAGGCCCCCAAGCTCGCCATTGTCCTCCTCCTCCTCCTCTTTTTCTCCCTCCTCCCTCCTCCCCTCCCCCTCCTCCGCCTCCTCCTTCTCCTCCTCCTCCTCCTCCTTCTCGTCCTCCTCGTCCTCGCCCTCCTCCATCTCCTCCTCCTCATCTTCCTCCTCCTCCTCCTCCTCCTCCTCCTCCCCCTCCTCCTCCTGCTCCTCCTCCTGCTCCTCGTCTTCCTCCTCCTACTCCGACGACGACGACTCCTCCTACATCCTCCCCCTCTTGGGGCGTATGGCGGCTCAACCCGCTCTTTGTTCTTCTGCATGCTCCCCCGCTTCCCTCATCACCTCCACTCCCCTGGGGCTCATTTCTGGACGGGCTGGTGGGGATACGCGAAGCGTCTAGAATTCCCAGAAGTCACAGCGGTGAGCCACATGCCTCGCCTGACATATTGCCTGCTCCGATTCGGCCCCAGAGGTGTCCTTGACGGCCGACATCATTAACAACATTTTGATTCGGGCAGGAAGGAGGACGATGCAAATCGCCCAGCGTCGCCGACGCCATGGGCCGGGGACGTCGAAAACCTGCCCCCGCGCGCGCCCTGCCCGCCGTGCGGCCCCCGAGGTGGGCGACCCCAGAGAGCCACGGCGGCAGGGGGGGCAGAGGAGGCAACGCCGCCAAGGGGACCGGCACGAGGCTGGAGACCGGGGAGGGAGGAGAGAGCGAGCGACGGGGCACGACCGAGCCGAAAGGGGCGCGGGAGAGGAGGGCGGAGCCGGGGCGACAGTCCGAGGGACGAGCAGGAGGGAAAGCAGGCAGAGGAGCGACGAAGGGCAGCGGAGGGAGGGACGGCGGCGCCGCCCAGAAGGCAGGCGGGCGGGAGAGCAGCGCCAGCATCCCGGCTTCCAACACTGAGCCCCCTGAGCTCCACTGCTGGGCAAAATGCCAGAAAGGAGGGAGGAGAGGAAGGAGCAGAGGACCAGGGCCTCTCGCGGTCCGCGGCCCACGTTAGTCTGGCCGCTGACACCCACGAGGCACGAGCCCAGCTCGCCTTCGCCCTCAGGCGCGCTACGCGCGCGGCACTTCAGCCACTGCCATCGCCGCTGAACTCCCCTTCTCCGCGGCGCCGTAGACGTCGGCGGACACTTCCACGCTCACGTCTGCTGGCTGCCGCCTCTGCCCAGTCGGCCAGCTTGGCCTCGTCCAGCCCGCGGGCAGCGAAGTGGCCAGGGCGGCCGCTCATCGTGGGCCCCTCGACGCCGCCCGCAGGAGCCCGCGGCGCCCCCGCCTCGGTGCTGCTCTGGCCAGTCAACCGCGGGCCCGCAATGAGGCCTCATACTCACCGGTTCTGCCAGCCACCTCGGAGGCGCCGTCCTCGTCACCCTGGAGGCCGAACCAGGCCTGGTTGCGTAGGCGCGCGTCCTCGGAGACGGCCGCCAACTTGCGAAGCTCGCGCATGCCATGTGCCCTCCCGGGTGGAGCCGTCGCTCCCACCGGCAGCACTGGTTAGCCAAAGCCTTGACAGCTGTGGCACGAGCGCGCCCGACACACTGGCTGCTCAGCCTGGGCTGCGGCCCGCTGCGTCCTCCCAGCCGCACGTGGGCCCCGAAGTCGGCGCACACCACGACCTCCTCCTCATCGTCTCCTTGGCCGCAGCGCGCGCAGGAGAGCGAATGGCCAAGGGCGACGAAAGCCGCCGTATTCACCGCCAGGCCGCTGGCCGCCACCGCGGAGCGGACCCCATCGAGCCGACGATCGAAGCCTGGCCGATCCACCTCGCCAGCTCGCGGGCCACCTCGGCGCAGGCGCGGCACTCGACGGCCGTGGCCCCGTCGACCATGCGCCGACGCACCCCCGCCTAGGCCGGGCAGCCGGCGCGCTCGTTGCCGCGCCGCTGGGCCTCGGTCAGCGCGCTGTCCAGAACGGCCTGCCCGGCGCAGTGTGCTGGCGCTTCGTTCACCGCAAAGGCCCCCTGCTCGAAGGTCGCGCGGATCCTATCCCACATGTGGGCGTTCGGCCTGTTGGCGGCCGCGGCATGGGCCCGTCCGCGCTGCAGGCACGGCGCAGTGGAGCTGCAGTCGACGCCGAGCTCCCCCATTGCTGGCTCCGCGTGGCTGCACAGCACCCAGACCGCGAAGTCCTCGCCGTCCTTGGCCGCCTGCTGCGGGCACAAGTCCTGCCGCGCGGCGCCGTGCATCCCAGCCGCCAAGTTGCCGTCGTCGTCGCACTGCGCAATCGCCCAACCAGCTCTGCGCAGAGCGCTGCGGCTGGGCTCCACCGCTGAGCCGTCCAGGTGCAGCTTCCCATTCAGCTCGTCACCGTCGGGCCGCCGCATTCACCACACCTGCATGGCACCCGCGCTGGGCCCCTCCGTCTCGATCACCGCATTGTCCGTGACAGTCGCCACCACTGTGCCCTTTAGCTTGACCATGCCTTTGTTTCAACAAGACACCCCAGAGGCCCCGAAGAGGGCCCCACGACGGCCCAAGAGGGCCACAAGACGGCCCAAGAGGCACCCAAGACGGCCCAAGAGGAACCAAAGACGGCCCCAAGAGGGGGCCAAGATAGGCAACCCGAACGAACATTTCGAGCCCTCGGGCGCGAGGGGCCCCCAAGAGGCCCCAAGAGGCTCACAAACTGCTCCCACGAGGCCCCAAGAGACCCCAAAACTGCTCCCGAGAGGCCACCGAGAGCGACCCGAAGAAACCCGAAGAAGCATCCCTGAGATCTCTGACCCTCAACCCAGGCACGGTGGCGTGATGGGCCGAAGGCCTTGAGATTGTGATTAAAGAATAAAGAGTAAGTAAAAAGAAAGCTAAGGGTAGAGAGATACGAGTACAAGGTAGAGGGCAGAAATAGAGAGTGGAGAATTGGGGGTGGAGGGTACAGACCAATTGTAAAGGGGGAGGGTGCAGAACAGGGAGTAGAGAGTAGAGGACAGAGAGAACCACACTCGCCATCCTTGTCTCCGGTCACCCACCAACAAGCTGCCTCTGCTGGTGTCGCACGACCAACTGATTGGGGTGCTCTGTGGTGTCTCGGGCGCTTTCAGCTTCTGGAGGGGGGGGGCCTCTGAAGGCCCCTGGAGGCACCAGACACATCCAAGGACCTCTGGAGCCCGCCGCGCTGGTGGCCCGCTCCGCGCCCACCTGCAGCACCCCGATCGCCTCCGCAACGCAGGAGGACAGCTCGCTGACCGTGCTCTCCACTTCGCTGGAGCCGCCATAACCAATCCTGGGGAGAGGGAGGATATGCGCAACTGACAGGCCCCCACAATCCCATGCTGGACCCAGATCTTGGCACATGCCGGCTCCTGGCCAGGCCATGAGGACATATCACGTGCACTAAGATCAGGCCCAAAGGAGTCTGTGGATGCCTGGTGGTGGCGTATTGGAGGCGGCCAGGAGGTTTGAACTGGCTGGGACCCCAGAAGATCGGCCAGGAAGGGTGATGCAGCCAAATTCGCTCAAAATCGGTCCTGGGCCCTCCTTACTGCTGGCCGGAACCAGTGCTGGCCCACCTCAAACCCCTCCAAGCGGCGTATAGTTTCCCTCCAGGAATTCCATCTCACGAAGTCGCCACGGTGTGGAAGCCCCACACGGCTGGAGCCGCCTGTGGTGGCGCCCGAGGCCATGGCCGAGGACTGGTACAGGCCCTCCGCGCAGGCCCGCAGCCGACGCACCTCGCAGACGCATGGAGAAGGAGAGGACTGGAATACAGCTCGAGGTGGTCGCGCCTGCTGTGGTGCTGGCCATTGATGTTACCCATGTAGTGGTGAGGATATTTGTGTTGCACGTGTTGGTCTTGGTGTCACTGGTGGAGCCTACGCTGCAGCTGTCCTGTTCGGCCAGCGTCGCGCTGCAGGAAACCACTGTACCCTTGTGTTTATGCAGCGTTGCAGCGTGTCTAAATCTCGATTGCGAGTTGGGCCTTGAATCACAGCCTCTCGACATCGGACTTTGACCAGAACGGATAAGGGAAAACGATGAGCTTCGAAAGATTGGACAACGCGGACAAGGAAGAGCGGGAGGGAAATATGAGCGAGGGAAAAAGGAAAGGGTGAAAAGGGGTGGCGTATCAGGGAGGGGGGGGCCTCCAGTGAGGGAGGGCGCCCCCGAGCGATGCGACACACTCACAAGCTAGAAAGACTTCTCTGTGGGGCGAGCGTCCTGCTCAGAGGGTACGCTTGCCTGGATTGTTCGGGGTGCGTCCTCCCCAGCCTCCCCAAGACCCGCTCTCCTCGTTTCCACTCGTCCCCGCGCCTCTTCCCATCCTCCAGCCTTGCATCTGGCACAGCCGCTTGACCCAGCGAGCACGCACCGGCCACGTGCGAATGGAAGCGCTACGCTCCACGGGGGCGGGGCAACGGTACACGGCGCTCAGAGGTCGGGGGCGAGAGAGGGAGGGGCAGAGCCAAAACACACCATGTGTCAACGAGGGCGTTGCGCTGAGCCCGTTGGTTGCTGCCGAACATTTGAAGGCGATCGAGTAGGGAACGCCGTGGCCTCCCCTGGAACTCCTCCTGCCTCCTTTCCCGTTTGATACCGCGGCAGCCTGCACGTCGGGAAGGAACCCGTCGATCAGCACGAACCCCTGCTCGTCCAGCTGCCGCGAAAGCGCCTTGTTACCCATCCATGAAGTGTGATCGAAGTGCATTCATAATTGTATGACTATAACCGTGAAATGCATACAACCATGGATGCATACATACATACATGCATACCTGCATACATACATACATATATACAAACATATACATATACATATACATATACATATACATATACATATACATATACATATACATATACATATACATATACATATACATATACCTATACATATGGGTATACATATACATATGCATATACATATACCTATACATCTACATAAACATATGCATATACATATACATATATACATATACATATACATATACCTATAAATATACATAGACATATACATATACATATACATATACATATATACATACATACATGAATACATCTATACATACATACATACATACATACATACATACATACATACATACATACTTACTTACATACTTACATATTTACATACTTACATACTTACATACTTACATGCATACATACATACATGCATGCATGCATACATACATACATACACACATACATTACATGTGTTACATAAATGCCTGCAAACATACATACATGCATGCATGCATACATACCTACCTGCATACATTACACTACCTTACATCACATTACCTTACATTACGTTACACTACACTACACTACACTACACTGCACTGCACTGCACTGCACTGCACTACATAGATACATACATACATGCATGCATGCATGCATGCATGCATGCATGCATACATATACATACATGCATGTGTATACATACATACATACATTCATGCACACGTATGCAAATACATACATGCATGCATACACGCATACGTACATACACACATGCATACGTGCATACACACATACATGTCAGCATAAATACCACCATACACTCATACATACACATACATACACACATGCATGAGTAGGTACGTACATGCGTACGTACATGCATGCATACATACATATGCACATGCATATATACGTACATACATACACACATGCATGCATACATGCATGCATGCATGCATACATGCATGCATGCATACATACCTACATACAGACAGACAGACAGACACACACACACAAACTACACATACATGCATGCATGCATACATACATACGACATACATGCATACATGCATGCATACGTACATACGTACATACATGCATGCATACACACATACGTGCACACATGCATGCATACATGTTTACACATAAAACTGTACATACATGCATACATGCATGCATGCATGCATGCGTATATACATACATGCATGCATATATACATGCATACACACATGCATATCTATATACACCTACACGCATACATACATACATACATGCATGCATGCATGCATGCATACATGCATGCATGCATGCATGCGTGCCTACATACATGCAGGCAGCCATGCATGCATGCATGCATGCGTACAGACAGACAGACAGACAGACAGCCAGACAGACACACACACACACACACATGAATGCATGCATGCATACATACATACCTACACACACTCGAAACTTATTGCGTGCTTCGCGTGTCCTTCAGTTCTACTTTTCATGGGGTCACGCGTATAGCGCATCAGAGGGACCGTGTCCGGATGATCGGATCCTCGGCTTGAAAGCCAACGTGTTGGTGTCTGAAGTCGTGTTGAGGTTTGGTATTTGCGGCAATCCCACTTGCCCCACTTGCCCCACTTGCCTCACTTGCATCACTTGCCCTGCTTGCAACTCAAATACCGAATACCATTTGCATGTGCAGTGGGCCTTCTTGGAAGCCCTGTGCAGGAACTCTGGCGGCCTCTTTGGGGCCGCGGTGTACTGCTGGAGACTACCTGGGCCAGCCTGGGGGCCTCGTGGGACCGTCGTGGTTCCCTCTTGGAATTTTCTTTTGGTTTTGACTGAATTGGCCTTCTTGGAAGCCCTGTGTGGGAACTCTGGCGGCCTCTTTGGGGCCGCGGTGGACTGCCGGAGACTGCCTGGGCCGGCAGGGGGGGCCTCGTGGGAGCGTCGTGGCTCCCTCTTGGGAAACTTCTGCGCTGCACGGCTCCAGGAGCCTCCCGGGGGAGATCGGAGGAGGAGGAGGAGGGAGGAGGAGGAGGAGGAGGAGGAGGAGGAGGAAGGAGGAGGAGGAGGGAGGAGGAGGAGGGGGAGGAGGAGGGGAGGGCGGGGGACTTTCTAAAGGGCTTTCCCAATCTGACTTGGTCAGGGCGGCAAGAGGGCTTCAAAGAGTGGGCCTGAAGTAGACCTTGCCGAGCGAAGGCGAGAAGCGGAAAAGGAGGAGGAGGAGGGGGAGGAGAAAAGGAGGAGGAGGAAGGGGAGGAGGAGGAAGTGCGGAGGATGAGGACGCGGGAGGAGCAGGGAGGAGGAGGCGGAGGAGGAGGAGGGAGAAAGGAGGAAAGAGGGGAAGTGAGAATGAGAGGAGAGAGACGGAGGAGGGTGGAGGGAACAGAAGGCGGCAGGAAATGAAGGAGAGCAAGGGAGTGGAGAGGAGAAAGGTGGGAGGGAAAAGGGAAGAGGAAGCAGGGAAGAGGAGGGAGGGGTGGGGGACGGAGAGGGGGAGGACACGGGAGGATAAGGAGAAAGAGGATGAGGAGGAGTGAGGGGGAGAGCGTTTGTATACTTAGTGTTGTATGCCCTCTGGAATGGAGGTGTCTTCGATTTGAAGCGCCAGAACTATCCCACCAGCCCTCTGGGCGTAGGTGGTCTAATGGTATTTGTCGTTCCTCTTCTAAAAAACCCACTTCCCTTTCGGGAAGGGGTTTACCCCTCCCCCGACCCCGACGATGGGGCTCTCGTCTGAACTGCAGATGGGGCGCTCGTCTCTCGAGGGCCTCTGGGAGCTCCCGATGGGACCAAAGCGCTCAGAAATTTGGCCCTCACTCGTCGTCGTCCTCCTCCTCCTCCTGCTCCTCCTGCTCCTCCTCTCGGGCAGGCCGCGGGAGCGAGCGCTCGGGGCATCAGAAAGCGGGCTGCGCAATAATGAGGCGGCAGCCCGCGATGGCAGGCCGAGACCTCCTGCTCCTCCGTAGGACGACGACGACGACGACGACGACGACGACGACGACGACGACGACGACGACGACGACGGCGGCGGCGGCGGCGGCGGCGACGACGATTGGTTGCTTCCTGAATGCCTGGAGGGGTCCTGGACGCTTGTGGGGCTTCTGAGGTCCTTTCGAACCACCGTCCTGCGAACTACGGCCTCGTGGAGTGAAAGAGAACTGCTGGAAGCTATATTGGAACGGTGTGGGCTCGCATTTGAGCTCCTGGTGACTCTACGGACCAGAGGACTCCTTTTGGGGCTGGTTTGGGCCGTCTTGGAGCCCTCTTGGGCCGTCCCGGAACTCTCTTTTGGCCGTCTTGGGAGGCCGGGCTGGCCAGGGCTTTTCGGGGGCCCTCTTGGGACACTCTTGGGGGCCTCCTGTGGCTCACTTGGGGCTCTCTTAGGAGTTCTCGAGGGCCCTGTGGGGCCCCTCTTGGGCCGTCTTGGAGCTCTTTTGGGCCCTTGGGCCGCTCATAGAGGCCTCGGAGGCCGTCCTGGGGCGATCTTGAGAGTCTCTGGGGATGCCGTGGACGCTGCGAAAGCAGAAAAAACTGATATCTTTAACAGCGTACGTGTCCTCGGGGAATGGAACGATTTTTGGCTCTTGGGGGTCCCTTTCAGGGCCTCTTGGACCGTCTTGGGGGCCTCGTGGGCCGTCTTGAAACCATAGTGGGTATTCGTTGAGCGCTGATGGGCCGTCTTGGGGCCCGTTTTGGGCCCGTGGGCTCCGATCGACAGGGGCGTCCAACTGCCCGGAAGGCCGCTGGGACTCCGAAAGGGCGTCGAGGGCGTTCGTTGGGTGGAGGACAGGGGCGTCTGGGGTGTCCTGGGGGGGGTCCAGTTTAGGGGGGGGAGGGCGGGTTCCGGGTAATAAGAATAAATAATAGGATTACATACATACATAGATACATACGTACATACATACATACATACATACATGCATGCATACATACATACATACATACATACATACATACATGTATACATGCATGCATGCAAGCACATACATACATACATACATACATACATACATACAAACAAACAAACAAACAAACAAACAAACAAACCTACAAACCTACAAACCTACAAACCTACAAACCTACAAACCTACATACCTACATACATGCATACATACATACATACAGACAGACAGACAGACAGACAGACAGACAGACAGACAGACAGACAGACAGACAGACATCCACACATGCATACATACATATTTATGTGAATATCTACATACATCAATACAAAGAGACAGACAGGCAGGCAGGCAGACAAACAGACAGACAGACAGACAGACAGACAGACGCACACATGCACATGCA